GTATTTAACAACTTTTCTGTAAGTTTGAAATTATTTAAAAATGAAACTATTTTAAGTACTCGCTAAATATAAAATACCAAGAATACAAGCTAATGAGGACTCCTATCAATGCATTAGGGTTCTCAATAGTTCAGATGTGGTTATTTGTTGCTGAAATTCTGATAGATTCCGTAGGGAAGAGCTATCATTTTCTGAAGAGTCTCTCAACCTGAGACTTGTTTTGATCAAGTATGTGTGAACAGCCCTTCCCTTAGCTAGCAGATGAATCATCATCTCCAAGAATACTTGAGCTGAAGAGAAACATATATGAGCTATGCTTAAACAAAATCAAGTTCCCTTTTTTTTTTTTTGAATAGTCAATGCCTTTGGAGAAAGAAGGGTAGGCATTTATTTCAAATGACCACTAGGCTGAGTAGTTTTGTTTGTTTGTTTTTGCTTTTAATCAGAATCTCTTTGTTTATGATTATAGACGCAAACTCCAAATTCCAACACAATATAAAGCAATAGGGAGGGAATGGTGGAGTCCGGAGCACATAAAAAAGTATATTGCCCCACCTAAAGACATTTTAAGCCATTTTTAAAGTAAAACTCTACACCATACAAACCCATATGGCCCTATCTACACTGTGAGCTGTCAGTTTGCATTTTCCAGACTATAGATCTCAGTTGGAAAATAAAATGACAATGACTTACAAGCAAACATTCAGATATTTAGTGTGCAATAGTTAGTATATACAGCTGGATATATAAAAGATAACCAGGAATGATGACTTTTTATCCTAGAACTTAGTGTTGTCTAGTTTAAGGTGAGAGCTGCATAAGATCTTAAAAAGGGGTCGGGTGCAGTGGCTCACGCCTGTAATCCTAGCACGCTGGGAGGCCGAGGTGGGAGGATCATTTGAGCTCAGGAGTTTGAGACCAGCCTGAGCAAGAGCAAGACCCCGTCTCTACTAAAAAAAAAAATAGAAAGAAATTAGCTGAACAACTAAAAATACATAAAGAAAAAATTAGCCAGGCATGGTGGTGCATGCCTGTAGTCCCAGCCACTTGGGAGGCTGAGGCAGAAGGATTGCTTGACCCCAGGAATTTGAAGTTGCTATGAGCTAGGCTGACGCCACGGCACTCTAACCTGGGCAACAGAGTGAGACTCTGTCTCAAAAAAAAAAAAACAAACAAACAAAAAAAAGAAGTTAAAAAGGTACTGCCTAGAAACATAATCATGGATTGTTAAATTGATTGGATCAGATCTCCTGCCTTGGTTTGGAATTATGACCTTGGGCAAGTTACCTTACCCTGTTTGAGCTCAGATCCCTTCTCCATAAAATGAAGGGTCACATGAGATGAAGGCAGGCGAATCATGACACTCTTGCTGACATTCCTTTCCCATGCACTGAACTCAGGTAGACATCATTTTTTTTTTTTTTTTGAGACAGGGTTTCGCTCTGTTGCTGGAGTTAAAGTGCAGTGGCATCATCACAGCTCACTGCAACCTCCAAATCCTGGTCTCAAGTGATCCTCCTGCCTCAGCCTCCTGAGTAGCTGGGACTACAGGCGTGCGCTATCATGCCCAGATAATTTTTCTATTTTTTGTAGGGACGGGGTCTCACTGTGTTGCTCAGGCTGGTCTTGAGCTCCTGTCCACAAGCAATCCTCCCGCCTTGGCCTCTCAAAGTGCTGGGATTACAGAAGTGAGCCATAGTGTCCAGCCCAGACATCACTCTTTGATGGTGGCACTATCATCCACTCTACCTAGACTAATGACAACCTTTTCAATGCACAACTCTAGGCAGCCACGACTGCTTGTGCCTTGCACATGAAAAGCCTATTTGCCAGTCCTCAATTAGATAATCTCTAGGTGCGCATGGAGGGATAAAATACGGTTCCATCATATAATGTTCAAAAAGCTCACATTGAACCCCCTAATTGTCTTATTCATGGCTACTCTCAAATAGCCACACAAATTTGTTAAATGGTATTCTTTCCCCACTTGAACTTCTCTCCTCCTGGATTTATTAATTTTCGAAACTGTTAACTGATGATCATTCTGCCTCCTCTTAGCCAATGAGGCCAGACGTGGCTCAAATATTGTTAACAACATAAAAAATTTCATCCCTAAAAATCATTCATATTCTTTACCACCTTTTAGTTGTTTTTAATTAGACACCAAAATTATAAAAATAATGAAAGTACTTTGCAGAAGTAAATTTGAAAGAGGAAAATACTGCAGTTGTTTTAAAAGGATATTTGCCAAACTTTCAAATTGGTATTGAATTTTTATAGCTGTCCTAGCACCCTCATACTTATAAATACCCACTGACTTATGAAATGGAGAAGATATATGTTTTCTAAAACTTTATTTTGGAAAATTTCCAACATATGCAAGGTAAAGAGAATAGTATAATGAATCTCCATGTACCCAAAACCCAGCTTCAATAATCGTTAATATTTTGCTAATCCTGTTTCATTGTTCCTCTCCAATTAAACATTTTACTACCTGGACTTGGATCATACCTTTACTTTTGAGTTTAAAATCACTGGTAGAACTTTTGGAGGTCAAGGCAGGAGGATTTCTTGAGGCCAGGAGTTCAAGACCAGCCTGAGCAAGAGGGAGACTTGCCTCTACAAAAAAATAGAAAAATTAGTCCAGTGTGGTGGTACACACCTGTAGTCCCAGCTACTCAGGAGTAGGAGGATGGCTTGAGCCCAGGAGTTTGAGGTTGAAGAGAGCTATGATGATGCCACTGGATTCTAGCCCAGGCAACAGAGCAAGACCTTGTCTCTAACAACAACAAAAAAATCACTGGTAGAAGCAGAACATGATCATAAGATTTTCTAGCATTATGTTTTGTAAGTAAATACTGAAACTTTAGAAATGTCATTGACATATGACTTTTTCCTGTTTTCAGGTGGTACAATGAGAGTATCAGCCGAGACAAAGCTGAAAAACTTCTTTTGGACACAGTAAGTCTCCTTAACTTGTCTTTTGACTTAAAATAAAATGAATTATACTGTTTTTTCAGTCATGCTGTGGTTTATGCCAATGCAGTGAGTTGACATGTTGGTTTAACAATGGTTTTCATGGCTGGTGAAAATACGCTGGGAATTTATAGGACTAGCAAACCACAGAATAAGAAACCTGGGCAGGGCTTGGTATTGACATATGAATGCCACCTTGCTGCAGTGTCTTAACCCTGTGATGATGGCTGAACTTGGAGAGCCATCAGAGCTGGTCTGCCACCCTACTTCTCTGTCTAGGTCAGGGTGGCTGTGACTCAGACTCTGCCTGGTTGGGCCGTGAGTCCAAAGGAAACATAGTGTTTGTTTTAACTTATTTTTCATCAACAGTTTTTCTCTAAAGCCATGCAGTGCAAGTAGCAGGACTGATCGTACCCAGGATGTCAGGATTAAGGGAGAAAGGGAAGAGGAGAAAAAGCATGATATGGTGGGACAAGTACTGGGTTCTGGTCCCTGTTCTGTTACCAACTCAGGGTGTGACTTTGGGGTCATCGCTTCTTTCTGGACCTCGGTTTCTCAATAAGTACAAGATGAGCATTGGACTAAATCAGGGATGACAATTACCGGCACCCATGCTGCCACTCTCTGCTCCTGCTCCCTTGGCCCACGCAGTTGGTCACAGTCCCTGCACTGGGACTCTATTGGGAAACAAGACAAACTCTGAAGAAAGAGTGGGAGGATAATCTAAAATAAACTAAGATAAACTCCAAGAGAGTTGAAAAAGATTTCATGGAGGAAAAGGAATCGGGCTGAGTCATTACTGAACTCTGGTTTCTCCTCGGTTTTGTATCAGCTCAGCATTTAATTAGTTCCTGTGCTTTCCTATAGACCACACATTAGAATTTCTGGGAAATATTTAAAAATACAGATTCCCAGGTCCCACTCCAATCTACAGAATCAAAATCTCCAGAGTTCGTCTCTAGAAATCTGTATTTTCTCAAGTTGAACTTATGACGTGTACGTAGCCAACTCAATACCTGGGTCCCCCCAGCCTGTGTTATTGGACAACATAGTAAAACTTGACTAATATGAACTAATTGAGAGGAGTGTAAAATTAATTAAAAATCTGAATTATACTGTGTTTAAACAAGTGCAGTTTTGTTATTTTTCTTTTTTTTCTTTGATAAAGTCATTTTATTTTTTTTTATTTATTT